AAGCAGCCAGCACTAAGCCCTCGTTCACACCTGAACGTTTTGTAGCGCGTTCTACGCTCGACGAACGCTCTACAAAACGCTCAAAAATATAAATCCCATTGTATTCAATGGTCTCGTTCCCACCCTGGCGTATTTCCGCCCGTCCCTAACGCGCTACAAAATGGCCCACGCCTGAAAAGGTACAGGTACTACTTTGGGCCGTTTTGTTGCGCGTTTCCATTGGGATACAGCCAAGTAGCCTTCGGAAACGCGCGACGGTCGCGCAACTTTTTTACCGCGAATCGCGGTAAAAAACGCGCGCCGGTCGGGCGACAGACCTGCATATGCAATACGCCTAGGTGTGAACGAGACCTAAAGCTGGCCATACACCTATAGATTTTCTGCTAATTTTCTATGGTCAGATGGAAAAAGTGCAACGGAAATCCTCCATCTACGCTAAACTGTGTTGATGGAGCAATCTCCCACTGGGCCAAGCCTGAGGCCTGGTTCACACCTGGGCGTTTTACAGCGCGTTCCTACGCTCTGTAAAACGCTCAACATGTGAAAACCAATGATTGCCTATGGGCATGGTTCCCACCTGGGCGTTTTACGTAGGAACGTGATGCAAAACGCTCTACGCCCAAAGAAGTACAGGAGCTTCTTTGGGGCATATTTGCCGCACGTATCCATTGGGATACAGCCAGGTAGCCCTCGGAAACGCACATATTTGATACGCCTAGGTGTGAACCCAGCCTGAGGGCCTGTTCACACGACGTCTGTTTTCTGTGCTGACCGGATCAGTACGCTCCTGCACTAAAAATGCATCCCAATGTATCCCTATGTGTTTTATAAGCTACAGTTCTCACATGCGCAGTCCGTTCAGGTTACGACAGAAAAATACTGCATGTCACATTTTGTACGGTCAGGAAACGGTCCGGAAACGCAAAACGCGTCAAAAACGCACTGCACTGCAGCTAACATACTGATAGCCCCACTCCAGCAAAAAAAAAAAAAAAAATTGTTTTTAACTGGAACGCACAAAAAACCATCACAACGCGCCTGGAGATCCGCACCTGATCCGGACCTGAAGCTCATGTGAACAGGCCCTGAGTATCTTGCTAGTTGGCCCCATTGGCTCTCAAAACACCTGAACAATGCCTGCACCCAATCAGATTGTTCAGGTATTTTGACAGCCAGCGGGGCCGACCTAGCAAGATACTGAAGCTTGCTCCACCCACAAAGTTTAGCATAGATGGAGAAATCTGTTGCACTTTTTTCATCGGACCATAGAAAATCTATAGGCGTGTATGGCCAGTTTTACCCTCCTCTCAGCTGCCACAAAGCACCCCAAAGAACTGCCTAAACTTCTGACTTCACATTGAGTTTCAAACTGTAATAAATAAGCCACTCCGTGCCTTCCTGCCCACCCACCATATTCAGGTGAGCTACCATTCCGAGCACTAACCCCAAGAGGTTGGGTAGGCAGAAATATGACTTTACTAAGCTTAAGAGGTGTCATTCCTAAAGGTGCTGGGCAGGCAAAATACTAAGGTGCGGGTTACATCTTTTCCATGGCATGTTTGCTATGCCTGGTCTAAAGTTTGGGAATATTGTCCAGAAAAAGAAAAAAGAAAAAAAACAAAACACATAGGAATAAAAAAGGTAGCTATTGAGAGCACACATGGCAATTTTCTAGTTTATCCCAACCCATGTCATTTTTCTGGACAAATTGGTCCGTACATGAATGTGAAGTAAAACACAAGTCTGAATACTTATAGGTTAACTGCATACAGTTATCAGAACACAATGAGGGGAATTTATCAAAACTTGAGCAGACGGAATCTGGAGCAGTTGCCCATGGCAACCAATCTGCATCTCTTCAGTGTGCTCAGGTAGGATTTGAAAATGACACAGAGAAGCTGATTGGCTGCAGTGCAATCCGCCCCAGATTTTGATAACTTCCCCCCCCCCCAATATCTTTAAATGAATCAGTGTTTTGCACCTGCAGGGCAAAGCAACAGATTCACAACAATTTAGCCCTCTCCAGCACCATATACTTCCTTTCACTTCCCAACATTTCCGTTTGGTTTTAATGAGGGAAAAAAAGTTCTCTGTAAACTTGGGGGGAGATTAAAGCAATCGTATCGCTTTGCCAAACATACCGTATTTTGCGGTCCATAAGACGCACCGGACCATAGGACGCAGGGAGGTCCGGCGCGCCTTATGGAGCACTCGACAGACTGTAGCTTCTGACACAGCTTCTATGACAGAAGCTGTGACAGAAGCTGCAGTTAGTGACCGCTGAGACGGTCTCAGTAATCACACAGAGCAGACGAAGAAAGTCCGTTCTTCGTCTGCTCTATGGTGATCTCGATCGTCGCCGCTGCTCGGTTTTAATACGAGTGATCTCATTAGATCACTCGTATTGAACGAGCAATGTCTCCTGCTGCTGAACTTGATCGCCGCCGCCGCTGCTCGGCTTTAAGATCACTCGTATTAAACGATCAGTGGCTCCTACTACTTGCCCGGCGCCCGAAACTGCATGTCTCGGGCGTCGGGATTCACTCCATAAGACGCAGGCACATTTCCCCCCCTCCTTTTGGGGGGAAAAAAGTGCATCTTATGGAGCGAAAAATACGGTATATTGTGGGGCACTATAGACAAAAAGTCTGCATACACAACTTTTTTTTTTTGTTTGCTTTAGCAAACAGATAAAACACAACATTAAAACAAATCTTAATT